ACACACACACACACAGTAAATAAATAAAATTTTATAAATTTCCTATTTTCCTCCTGGATTATAGAAAAATAGAATTATTTTCATTTCTAATACTTTTGATTTTTTGCATGGAAAATTTTTATATCATGTCAGGTATAATTAAAATTTTTTAACATAGTAGCTTACATGTTTAAGTGATAGTAGTAAAACTGCTAGTACTAGTTTTAAAAAATAGTTGGCAATTTAGAAAAAACAAGTTCAAAGAATATAATAGTAACCATCTTATAGAAAAGTGACAAATTCTTTTTCCTGTGTCTTTAATCTTTGCTTTTAAACAGGATATTCAGGCCCATCTTCTCAATATCAGGTCTCCCTCTACCCTAGAAATATCCTTGGTTTTTAATTTTTGAAAAATCTGATGGGTAAAAACTTTTAATAGTGTCAGTATGGTCTATGGCCATGCCACCCTGAACACGCCCAATCTCCTCTGATCTCAGAAGCTAAGCATGGTTGGGCCTGGTTAGTACTTGGATGGGATAGTGTCCATATGTTCTTGACTGGTGATGCTAAACATGTTTTTACTTATACTCATGCTGTTTTCTTTCATATGTTATTTGGTTTGTTTTTATCATTGTCTTAATTTTTTGTTTGCTGAGACCAAATACCTGACACCCAAAGTTAGAGGCAAGGTTTATCTAGCTTAGTTTATGGAAGTTGCAGTCCATAGTCACTTGGCTCCAGTATACTGTGGCATGGCAGAGGAGCAGCAGTTCATGTTGGGTAGAACGTGGGAGCAGCAGGAGTGAGCCTCCCCTTTTTCTATCCCTTTATAGTCAGTCCAGGCTACAATCTTGTTGATTAGTGCTACCTACCACACCCTTACTCCAAGTATCATACCCTTACTCCACCTTCATACCCTAAATCTAGCTATCTCCAAAACACCCTGCCAATGACTATATGAGCCTTTGGCAGATATTTAGATATAAGCCACAACAACCATAATTATTGATATTCATCATTCTGTATTGATTGTAGGTACTGTGCTGTATTGAGGATATTTCCCTACCCACAATTTTTGTTTACTGCTGTACTTTATTTGAAAATGAGTGAAAATAGATACAGCTTGAGGAAGGAAAAAATTTCCTTCTCCCCTTTAGACACTACATATTTGACCTGCCAGTTATTGAATAATCCATATTTTCCTCTGTTGGTTTGAAATACAGTCTTCACTATGTACTAATACCTTGCTATACATAGTTTCTTCAGAATTTTTCAGCTCTTCTGTAGCATTGCTTTATTTGTTCAGACTTCAGGACAAAATGTAGTAATTGCCTTATGCTGTGGTTTATTTAGTAATCTTCATTCTTGTAAATATAACTTATTTTTTTCTTTAGTATCAGTAAGTTATTAGTACATTGTCACCATCCACAGCTTCATATCTGCAGAATAATGATGAGGAAGTCCTTTGTTTCTGATCAGGGAATTCTTTGCAATCCATTCTGTTGGTGGCAAATGAAGACACTGGTGTGTGTCAAGTAGAGACTTTGAAGGGTGGGTTTGTCTGGCCCTCTGCACCAATACAGAAAAAGCACACATGCAGATGCATAGCAACAATGCCACTTCAGCAGCTTGTCTGCATATAGAAAGAATTGACTAAGTGTATGGTGATATATCATGTTCCATATACTGTTTTAATACAGGCTAATTACTTAATTCAAAACAAGTGTCCATATCAAATTTGAAGGCTGTGAATAATTAACCATAAAAGTAATGCAGACTTATTTTCATTTATTTTGGGTTTGTTTTCTTCCCCTCTTCTAGGAAGCCTTTCCAGTAAATACATGACTCAGGGAAAAGCCTCGGTGAAGAGGAGCCCACAGGAATCATGAGGGAAGGAAGACGCAGCACTCTAAATGACACTCAGGCGTCCTTATTCACTCGGAAAATTAGGTTCATTTCACAGGACACAGCAGCATAGATCAGGCTTCAACTTCACATTCTAGGAAAATGTCAGATTTTTTTTAATATAATGAAATTGTTAATGAAAAAATTTTAATGTCTTATCTACCACCAATCCCCATAGATTTTAATAGAAAGCCATGATATATGTATTTAAGCCAAGTTAAAAGAAAAAATGTAACTATGGGCCAGTATTCAGTGAATATGGCTTCATGGTTTTTAATTCTTTCAAAGCACACTAAAAATGGTGTGCTGATAAAACCCAAGTACATTAACTCCTTTTTTCCTATAAATCCCTTTTTTGTTTTGAAGAGGGGAAATATATTTATTGTTTACTGAATCCTCATGTGGAAGGTATCAAGTGTGTGAACTGCTACTGCTGTACTTAGTACTTCAGAACATTATTTTACCGCTCTCTGTAGAAGTGAACACAGGAACTGAGTCCTATTTATGGGAGCCTCTGTGGGCACAACACACAGTGCCACTGTCAGGGCACTGGTGTTTCCCACTGACATTTAATAAATCAACATTGAACTACTATGCTTGGCAAAAAGAAATCAGGAAAACAAGTGGCCCTGTTTGCCAGTAAAAACATAAAGATGATAAAAGTACTTTTTACTTTTTATGATATTCAGAAATTAGGGAGGAGAACTTTTAACCCCCACCCTAAGATCAGAGCCCGTCTGAGCCAATCCTGAGTGTGGTTGCTCTCTTTCTGGATCTGACTGGAGCCCTCACAGAACTGTTTCTCTTAACTCCACAAGTTTTTCCAAAGTACTACGTGGTCAAAACTATGCCTCGCTTTATTTATCATTTTGAAATAAAATTTCAACCTGTAATTTTACCCACATTACTTTCTAATGAAAGAGTCCTAAATTTCATTAAAGAAAATAATTTCCGGAGGAGGGCCAGTGCAAATGTACACCTCTTGTGCTTCTGCCCCACCACTGTTGTGCAACAGTACAGCCCTGTGCCAGGTGCTAACATGCACACCCCACGGGCTGGCACTGACAACTGCAGAAAGGATTAGTAGAGAAGAGAAGACTCAGAAGATAATGCCTGTGTGCCCTTCTCTTACAAAGCTGGTTTGCCAAGTATGATGGTGCACATGTGTAATCCCAGAATTCTGGAAGGCTTGAAGCGGAAGGATCACAAACTCAATCCCATGTTTGGACAACTAGATGACTTAACAAGACCCTACCTCAAAGTACAAAAGGCTGGAGACTTACTCCGAAGTACCTGAGTTAACCCCTAATACTGTACCAAGAAAAAGGGAAAAGAATTAGAGAACCTATTCTAGCTACAGAAGAATTCTATCAAAAGTAAAAACTTTAGAATTTGCAAGTTCTGGCAAACAATAAAATGGTTGTTCCTCCACAGTTTGAATCCTCGTGATCCTGCAGCCTGGGCTGCCCCTTGTGTGCCCTTCCTCCGTTGCTGAGCTGCCTCTGCCTTCTGGTGGAGTTGCTGCAGCCAACTCTGGCCATACTTTGAAAGACCTGTCGTGCTCTTCTGTTGTCTTCTGGCATTATCAAAGAAGTCAAGTTCAGCCAAATTTGTGTTCCTTTGTAGTTTTTTATTTTCCTGTTGGGGGTACTCCTGTGTTTTTGTTTATCCTTATAATTAAGAAAGTTTCCTCAATCTAGAAATCTGTCTCCAGGGTTGTTTTTTTTTTTTTTTGGGGGGTGAAAGTATCTGCTTTGCTTTTAACCTTAAGCTTAATTTCTACATGATTGGAGAAGTCTATTCTGCTCTTTCTCACAAATTTTTGTCAGTATACTTCAAATTTATTTGAACTTAACTCACCCTTTTTCTTTAACTTAATTTTCTTAGAATCTTCTGATCTGTAATCAGATGACTTATCCATTGTCCTACTAGTCCTCAGCTTCTTAGAAAGTTTTTTTTAATGTCCTTTGTTTTAAAAGTTCCCTACATTTTATTCAACTCCTATATTAGATTCTGCCCAGTGTATTTGGGTTTTAAATTTCTTGACTTCTCACACTAGAGACAGGAATAGTTGAGAACAGTTCTAAGAATGGGTACTTTTGCCTCTTCCCATGGGTGCTACTCACAGGCCCCTTCCTGGAGTGCTATCTGGGAGGTGGGGCATCTGCTCCATGCCAAGCCAAGGACTCAGGGCGTAACTTATCTTTCAAGTACAGCTGGCCTATTTGTCCTAACAAGCACCACCAGTGCCCCTCTACCAAGATTCTCCTTGCCACCTTTTTTCAGAAACAAAAACATGAAATCCTTTCCTTTTGGGGAGTGCAGAAGGGGATGTAGCTGCATCCCTTGCCCTTTTTTATTTTGAGCCTTTTAAGTACCTTGGGATTACAAATTTGTGCCGCACCCAGCGATAAAGTCATTTTTATAGCGGTGATTCAGAAACCTCAATCTAATCCTCAAAAACCCCATGGCTTAGTGTGGACAGTGCCAGCACTGTGCAAGTTGAAAGTTTTTTTTGTTTTTTTTTTTTTTTTTCCCCAGAGCCAGGGATTGAACTCAGGTCCTTGCACTTGCCAGACAAGCACTTATCCAACTGAGCTATCTCCCCAGCCCCTGAAAGATTTTTTTAAGTGTTCTACACAAGATCTTAGTCACAAGGCCAAGAAGCAATTTTAAATATTTTTAGATAGCTCACTTTATTTCCCTTTGAAAATTTGCTTTACGTTGCATATATGCTATGAAGAAAAAATTTTCCCAGGGCTGGTGAGATGGCTCAGTGGTCTAAAGCACCTATTTAGAACAAGCTAAGCTAAGCAAAGCACAGGGACCGCGGTTCAATCCCCCAGCACCACATGCCAGCCAGCCCCACCCCCTGGTGGGCTGAGCTGGCCACACACAAAAAAAATAAATAAATGATAAATAAATTTTTAAAAAGCCTTCTCTAATAAAGAAAAAGAAAAAAGAAAAAATTTTCCCAAATGGAGAAATCCTAGACAGATCGATCAGTGGTGTTTATAGTGTTATTGCTCCCCTCAAAAAAGGAAGAAAAAAAAAACCACTAAAACTAAAGAAGCTCCCAGAATGTTTTCTTTGAAACCAGGTGTGTTTGGGTGGCATCATTTAAAATAGTCATACACTTCACCAGGCAGAATGCTAGATCCCAGCCCTGCTAGTGTGCCAGCTCGGTACAGCAAGCCCCACAACCTTGGGAAGATCATTGCTCTCCTATAAAATAGAAATTATACCTGCCCTTCCAGAGTTGTCAAGGGAAATCTTACTGAGGAAACACTTCTGTGTCTAAAACAATCCTGAAGAACAGTATCAAGCACTTCCCATACCCATTTCGTCTCTACCATAGGACAGGTGCTTCTCTGAGATAAAGGCACTATATATATATATAT